ACCCGCTGCTGTAGGACGAGCGCCGTTCCTTCGACGATTATGTAAAAATCGTCTCCTTGTTCGCCTTGTCTGACAATGGTTTCGCCGTCGTCGAACGACACTGGTTCCAGCGCATCGGCCACTGTCAGTCTCTCCCATTTGTCTAGACTCTCTGCGAACACACAAACGCAAAACTGGTATGATAAAGGCYGATGGCAAACATAAAATCCAATATGTATGGATAGCAGACAACACGCATATACTGTCATAAATTGACTGATAGATTTATGTTAAGTCGAATAAACAAAAATCGAATCTTTTTTGCTTCTAGTATGTCGTGAAATAATTTTAAAAAAATGTAAAAATTAAACGAACTATTACTATTAGACAAAAAAAAGGATGCAATTTAAAAAAAAAACTGTTTAAGTAGCACTGCTGTATAGTAAATGGTTTTCGGCATARGTATACCTCTCATTGAGCAAATCACTATTCGACATGGAAACACAATGTTATTAATAAATAAATAGGTCAAAGAAAGTGGAAATAATTTTAAAATTGTATCATATCTAGAAAATGTAAGTATAAATATTTGGTAAAAACGTCAAGTCATTCCAGTTACGCATACATTTTTTTAATAATGACGAAAAAATAAGAAACAAAGACGACTTCATAAATATGCCTGTTTTTCCTAATTACTAAATTGTATTAGCGGGAACATTTTTCTCTGCTATAAATACRTATCCTTCATCGATCGCACCCCTAATAACAATGTATGCCATAGGTACCTAAACATACACAGTCAGACGTATTATTAATTGAATGGTAATTAATGGTTAGGATAAATAGTGCTGATACAGCCGAACGACATTTAATATGTTTTCAAAGCGTCCCGTCGCATCGTGTTTTTATATTATATTTATCAACGATCAACACACAGTATCGATGTACCTAAAGTTAGTTAGACAACGAGGTCTGAATCTGATACCGAGAAATATTTGAATTCAGCAGGAAAATGTCTATAGATCGTACGAAACACACTTTCAGTTTTTACTATTGGAATGTGATTTGAACAAAATTCATATTTTTAAGTTTACAATTACCTATAATATTAAATTTGATTTTTACAAAGTGTCCAGTACGATCTAAAGTCAATTTTAGTAGGACAACGTAAACTAGCATTATAACTTTATCAAAACTAAAGGTATTTTGAGATAAAACTGACAGCAAGTAGCGAGGCCATTTAATTTCTAGTGAAATAATTTACAAATTGCATGCAGACTGTCATCGTCGTCAACGTCCGGCCTCGAAGATCCAAATTTCAATTTACGGGTTCGATGAACTGAGCAAATTGTATATTAGAAATAGAGATGCAGTTCGATTAATTTTATCACGCCCGAGACTCGGATCACTAAACATGTATCTTATTAATAATTCCTAAGAATTCGTTACAGCAGTTTGGACCGTGGTTTAATCTCGTTCAGACAAATCCACCTACCTACGTAACAATAGATGTATTTAGAAATAAAGATCACGTTCGGGACACGTATAAGACTATGGCTGGACTTAACATMCCTTATATTGTTTTCCACGCAGAAAACACCAGCCAAAGTTAATATAACTCTTAGGGTTTATAGTTTATACGTACAACCAAAAGTTTAATATATTTTTCTCGCTTCTCCGTTGTGCACGTATTATTCGCACAWTTTTGTAAATGTCAATGAATGTGAAACGGCGAATTCAAATTGTTTGTTCATTTTAGTACATATTTTTTTATGTTAGTATAGGTACATACGAAAAACGTTGTTCCAAAAAAATATAAGTATATAAATTCAGTGAATTCGTTTTGGAACAAAATCAAAGCCGAAAAGTAATTATTTTCGAACAATAGAGAATATTTCAATTAAAATTAATTTCATAAAAATCAAACAGAGGTATAATTATAATTATATATTATAGCGGTAAAAGTATATAAGCTTGTAGAAAATATTATGCATTTATACACATTTTAAAAGCGTACAGACCTGGAATAGGTGGTTTGTTAACTTTGAATTAAAAATAAAAATTAACGTAGAAATTCACTTGTTTGCATTAAAAAAAAAAAAAACTTAATAAGTATCAGTATACAGTTCAGTGCCGATCAATCGCACGTAATTCGATATACGATAAATAAAATGTGATCGAGTGTTAAATTATATGAAATTATATAAAAGTTTGTTTATTTGTGCACATTATACATGTACAGAGATTTTCGTTTRTTTTGATTTAAAAACTTGAACATTTTCAACAAATATGATGGTCATTTTAGCGGAGTGCACAAAATATGACAAAAACTAAATACGTCTTAACGCCAACTGACCATAAATTGAACTTTATCATTATCATTATTATTTCAGGTGTATGTGATTGGCATAATAATATCATATGTTCTAAAAAACCGTAATTGATGTTATTATTGTGTTAAAAATAAATCAATATCGCGGRTTTTGACTCACACGGTCGAGCATTAACAATCATTAATTATTGTGTAAACTAGATTTATGCATGATAATTGTATATTTTGAATTTTCCCTCAAGGACCTTTCACGGATTTCCGAACCAGTCGATATTGTGTATAATTTTTAATAACAAAACGATCGGCGCACGATCATCATAACACGCTTAAAAACTCGAAAATATAAAATGATAAAGGTATGCTGTGTAGTGATTTTTTTTTTATATTTTTACAGACGACGGCTACGCGAGAATTATCTATATATTGATAGCATAAAGATGCCAAAATTACAAAATTATTTATTATACATTATTTTGTACGAATTTCACCGTTTAACAATACTGAATCACAGAAAAGATTATTATAGATTAATAATACGAAAAAATTAAATAAAATTACTGTTTTAAAAACCACGTGTATGCATTGTGCGAATGCATATTAGACGACTCACACGTCACAARAAATAATGCAATTTAAATAATAACAATGAATTAATTATGTGCARTTGTGTTGGTGATGAAATTATATAGATAATCCCAAAGTTTTAATACTGCGCAGCATGTTTTAAAATATAATATAGTATTATAAATCATAAACGTAATAATATCTGATTTATCAAAGAAAACTATCCATTAGAAATAGGTGTGGTGTTATTAATTAGGTGCTTTGATATTAAATTTTAGCGTCAAATAATATGCAAAAACGATTAATCAACCTTATCTTTGTGTAAGCGCGGCGTACTGTCTTTTAATATAAAAAGTCGTGAAAGTGTGAAAAGCAAGCACATGGTTATAACGTAAAAAAAAAAACATAAAAAAAAGAAATAACTTAAAAACCTAATTTCTGATAAAAAATCCTAACCATTGTGTTCGAAATAATATTGATCATTTTACGTAGGTAATAGTGTTTTGTGAGGTACAATGACGTGTGTTCAGGTTTTCACAGGTTCTTAAAATTTTTCATCGTCATACATTATCTTTATCATTAATCATATAAGTTATTTTCTAAAACTGTGATGATAATGTACAACCGACACCACATTGTTATACGATGTTAAAATAATTATTTTCATTGTATACTGCACTAGGTTTTGTTTTTCTTTTTGGCCTCCCACGAACGAAAACAATATCCGCAAAAGACGTGCGAATGGATCCGCTCTTAATTTTTATTTTCTCAGGGTAAACCCTTTTAATTATATGGTTTTTCTTTTTTTATTCGTCGTCGTGGTCATTAGTCCTTCCTTAACAAAGATGAATGAATCTATTTCTTAAACGTAGAGCGTTGGGGGAGGGGGGAGGGCGATTCTCTTTAATTATATAGTATCCATCCACCCTTACTTTGCTGCTGTGCAAACGAAAGCTAAATTCCCCCCTCCCCCCCGTAATTAACGAGAATTAAATGTTCAATTGTCATTAATCAATAAAACGCGAAAAAATCTGGAACAAGGTTTTAACTAGTTATATGCAATAATAATTTTGACATTTAAAATCTAAAAAAAAAATAGACAGCCTTTGGCAGTATCACTTTTATTTTTTATCGTAAACTGTTGGCATTTTCAAAAATCGTCAATTTTAATGACATATTGTCAGTGTTCGGTCAAGTTGCATAATTAGGTTTCATACTTTATTTAATTATTTTGGCAATTATTTTTTAGTTTTTTTTTGACAGTTATTAATTTTACACCAAAAATCAAAATTTAAGTTATTTAATAATAACAGATGGGTAAAAAAAGCAATTTTTCATTTAATGTTAGAATAGGTAAAAGTTATTAAAATTAAAAACAAAATATTTGCACTTAAAAAAAAAAAGTGATAATTCTAATAAATTATAGTTTGGGGAAAAAATATATAATTTAATTCAATAACCATTGCTTGATAACATAATATATGAAAATCATTTAAATGATTCTTATTAGATGAAATCGCATAATATAAATAATAAATATCTCAAATATTTGTGTTTAAATTATTATTACTTTTATATAGGGGGCTTCATTAATGTGTTTGTTGAGTGCAAGATTGCGAAACAATAAAATATGTATTTATTCTTTTTATGCAAATTCAATTTTTTTTTTTTAAACCTTTTAAATTATATTAGACGTGTTAAAAAATCTTCAATGTTTACATTACGAGAACAAACAAAATTAGTATTTGCAAGGTAGAAAGGAAAAACCTGAGCTGAAAAAAAATGTTAGGTAAACAGTGTATACAATGATTAACTTGTATATGTATATATGCAAAACTATACGAATATATTCGTTCACAAATATCTTTTAACATTTTGTTTTGATAAAAATCAAACTATTTACCGTAAAGTATAATACATAATACAATGCAGTTATTTTGTTAAAAATGAGATATTTTATCACAATAATTCAAGAAGTCTATARTAAGTATTTAAAATTTTTTTTTAAAACCGCTGGAATAGTAAATTAATAAACATGTATCACAATATCATACAAAAATTCTATGAAAGTTTCATATTATTTACATCACATTTCCTTATCTGCAATAAATCTATACAACTAACAGCAAGTGCGGAAAATTCAACCAATTTTTAACTTGTTAAGTCAATGGTAGAAAATATTTAAATTAATATTCTAAAGTTAAACATTACTTGTATTTTGTTGAACTTTTAACATATACAAGTTAAATATAATGAACATAACTTTTCTTAGTTAAAAACAGATACATGTTTCAAACTTTAAAATCCATTTTAAAACATAATCAGCGAATCGTATAAACTTTTATAGGTACACAAAAACAAAAAAATAATATAAACAATAGTAATTTGCAAACACTAATAATGTTAAGATATTTCATTCAGTGATAAGACTTTATAATACCAGGATATATTAATTATTTGGTTAGTTTATTCTTTATGAAGTCGACCAACGTTTCTTTAAACGCAGAAGAGTTTGGATGAAATGTTTATCTCTAGAAACATTTATATTTAAATTTTGTATAATATGTTAATTCGATCCTTATTGAGATCCAGAAATTATTCATTTAACCGGCCTAAAATGTAATATTATTTATTAACCATAAGTGTTTCCGATTATTATAATAACTTTTTTTTTTTTGGAAAAAAAAACAATGAATTGAACAAAATAATATATATTTTTTAAATATAAATGTCTATAATGCAAGGAAAAAAAAATTAACTAGAGAAGTACTTGGAAAGAGTAATTAGTTATTTAACTTAACTTAGACTTTTTAAATATTTTTTCACAGTCGTGATGAATAGTTATAATTTTTATATTAAAAAATTATGTATAATTAAAATAAGTAATACGTAATGTTAAAGTTTAAAATACTTAAATTAATATTTTGATTAAAGAGTATTAATAGTATTATAATAATCAAAACGCTTGTGATTATTAATTTATCGTGTAAAAAATGAGCATAATACTTATTTTTAAAATTTATTTTACAATCCTACTAGTTGCTATCTACGCGTTTTAAATATATTCCGTTAACATTAAATTAAAATATATTTAATTTTATATTTTAAACTGTTTTAAAACGTATAATGAAGTTTCATAAATTAAGAGTGGATACATGATAAGTTCTTATATACAGTTACCTTATCAAAAACTTAATATAATATGAAACCGGGTATAATATTTAAAAGGCATCGAATTAAACTAAAGAAAACTCATTCAAACTTTTAGTTTCTCAACTAAATAAAACAATTAAAAACAACTGTATACAGCTTAAGAACATTATAATTAATACAGAATAAGAAATTTACTTATTGGCACTAAGAATGGTGAAACATAACAAGAGGTCATTGTTTAAACTACCCAAATGATTGTCTATGTTTCATACCAACTATCTAGTAAACTATTCAAATATTAAGAATTAAATGACTTTCTTTGACTAATCATAATATATTATGACTAATTATAAAATATTATAAAAAAGAAGTGTTAGTCAACGGTTAATTAAAAAAAACGGTTATCTAATTTTTTWAAATAAAGCATATGGTATGCAAATCTTAATAAATATTTTTAAAAATGTACTAAATAATACTTATAAGAATATATTTTTTTAATTTACTCTGTAAAGCTAAATATTAATTATTTTCTAAATTAATTTTATTCAAAAAATGTAAAGTAATTATTAAAATATGCATTAAGACGGACGCTTTTTTGATCATATAAAATTTTTATTGTTTCTGTTTTTCGGCCCTTGGCGATATGCGCCGCCACATTGGTTGAAATATGTATTTTTTTATGCGGGGGAAGGATTCATCGTCAAAAATCATGGTAGGTCATACATCTGGAAGCCAGCGACGCCGTGCRATGTTTGACCACAGCACATATTATAGTGAGCAGGCCACTAAAATTAAATAGTATAAATTGTMAATAGCGAAAACTTAAGGAACTATTGATTTTGACGAAAGTGCTTTATATTATTTTTGTAACGCGGTTTTTAAAACTCAAACAGTTCTGTACAGAAACTCTAAATTATAAAATGGACGAAGATTAAACATTTGAAAAGTCATTCCTTTAATTTCAAAGGATTTCCTTGAAATCCCTCGGTAAACCTCAAAATAATGTCGAGGAAACAACTCCGATTCAAGAGGACGATACACCCGCATGTGTTGTCACCGTCCGACAAACGCAAAAGGCGCTAGCACATGGCGCTAATTATTGTTAATTCTGAACAATCCATTTAATCCAGGTACGTCAGAGCGAGTTGACTATTACTGTCAAACATAGAAGCAAAAATATTATCTGATGTACATCGTAGGGTTTTTTTTTTATGCCAAACGTAAAAGTTCGGTAGGTATATTATCATGGAAGTTTCGGCGTGCGTAATAGTATTTTGGCCGATCCGCGACCACTAATTTACACGTATGATTTTAATAATAACATGTTCACTGTAAGAGCGAATAATATGTATAATAGTACGCTGAATCGGGTTTGTTTGTCGTTCGGGTGGGTTTCGATTGGGTCACACCCTTTCTTTTGTGAGTGTGCGTAGCATTTCAAMGGCAACCAAAGGTAAAATTGATGGTCGGCGTATGAATTGATGTCAGCGTGACATCGGAGCAACCGCAAACAACAATGGTGAATTCAGTGACAAAACGAGTCAATGCTTATATATAGTGTGCACGTAGTAAGTATTAATGACGTATATATCAAAGTTTCACAGTATAATCAGTCTTCAATTGATCTATATGCGAGCAAGTCGTATGGGGTTAGAGTAGATTAATAATCATGTATAATATAATAATAATATAATATACATATAATGTATTATCCGACGGGCACGCGAGGTTAGCCGCAATTTAATAGGTACCTATTCGTATTTAATGTCGCCATTTAATTAATGCGATTTAATTTTAATACCAAACGTCATATGAAATCTTTTTTTTGTTTTTTTACTTGGAGTATTGCCTATGGTTTATATGATATAGGTTCTATTATAGAAAACGCGAAGATATATAAAACTAGTGTAATTCCGTTTTGTTCCATATAAATAAATTAATTGTAGCAGAAATTCATTTTTCCCAAGTGCCTTATTTAATGCCAATAAAATCTTAACAGTCTTAGAATCTTTGTTTCATCTCGTCAAGTCTTTGAAGCTAAAACATTGATATATTATGTGTTTTTAGTTTAGTTTTATATTTTTTTGCTCTAGGTACATTTTTTTTTTGTATTATTATCACTTTGCATATTCAGCTGTATTATGTGCCAATTATTATGAAATGTTTTTTCCTTGTTAAATGGCTTTGCCCGGTAATTTAAATAAATAAAACATATTGCATGTGTTAAATTCGCATCAACTTAAGTCGATCATCGAGTGCTGCTGCGCAGGTATACCTATAATGTTTGGAAATTTATKTTAACGACTTGGGTTAACYGTGTCGGAAAATTGTAGTGTCATTGATTGAACGATAAAGATATTATTCACTGTAAACTATACATAATCTCTCTACTCGGTGGAATAACAATATGGCGTGTCTAAGAATATTGGAATTTGTTTTTCCGYCATATACCTACACTTCAATTACCACTCGGGTACGCCATTTTAATGTAACAGCGAGGCATGCCGTCGAAGTGATCGTTTTATGTCCGTGTAGTTATCATTCTTTGGCGGATAAAGAAGTCGCGGTATTGCGAAAGTCTGCTGTCTTTATGACGCAATCAGTTTTGATTATACCACCCCAGTTTTCCCTACGCGCATTCTAAACGCCGTCGTTATGGAAAAACTGAGACCCCAGCAATGGATTTCTATTGTCTCCGAAAATTGCCACTCATTAAGGAACTAGGGTTGCGAATCGTATTGCAAATCGCAAAGCCATTCGACCGTGTGATAATAAATATAAATGCCATGCCAGAGGGCGAAATAATAATACGGTCGGTCGTWGCAGAAATCGTTGAACTTATTTTTTATGATTCTTAGTCGAATAATACACGCGTCGGTAATTATTAATGTCCATGATGGTTTTCAMAAAACCAAACTTTAGACAAATTCAGATTGTTAGTTTAGTAGACAATTATCTAGAAATAATGTATGTAGATTCTTTGATATTAAATTATTATGTTTACGGTGTAAATAAAAGTAAGCTCACTTAAAATGAAAATAAACAATAGTGAGTTTAATGAATTAATTGCCTTTTCGGTTATCAATAATATAGGTCTTGTGATRGACGACKAGCTGGTAAGATTTTCTCCGTTTTTATTGACTGCAATTTGAAATATACGTTGGACGCCTACGAGTTAATTAATAATACATCAAAACTAATATCACTATAGTCACTACGAATACCACTGCAGAATATTCTCTTATTTAAGATATTTTCTCAAATATTTAAGTAGGTATTAAAACTATTTTTATGTTTTAATTTTCGTCGTGCTATACGCGTGTCCATATTACATAAACAATACGCATAATACAATATATACCAGCCCCAAATTCACTCAAGCTCACATCAATAGATACTCAAAAATCCTCTTTCATTCTACCAAGCCCTCAAAGACGAAAACACTGTTTCAATCGGTACATTTTTCTACAATATAAACTTAGGTGATTCAATATAAATAATGTATAATGGTACTTGTACTAAAATGAAATGTATATATAAATTTGTTCAGATGTAGGCTAAAAAACTGTGTTGTTGAAGCCTTATATAATAATAATAGTACTGMAGTTACACACATATTATAYATATAGTATATACCTATATGTACKTATGTATGACGTACGCATGCTTATGTATTACGGCCTAAGTATGCAATGGTCACGATTGTTCATATTTATATTACCAATAGTGGTTTAATATTTACATATTAAAGTGAGTGCGCTTACCTAGAATAGAGACGCGTGACAAGAATTCTTCGTACATTTTCCTCTTTCGGATCGTCGAGCCCATGAGTATTCTCCTATAACTGTCTCGGTCCAAGCCCCAGAGCTTCATGTCAGTCTTAGCGCGTACCGTGGCGGCCCTCGGTGTACCGTGGATCAAAGCCAGCTCTCCGAAACTCCCACCTTCGCCGATCACCGTCACCAGTTCCGAATTAACGTACACCTAAAAGGCGMGAAAAMTTGYTGAGAACGGGTACGAATGCAAACACGACGAAAGACATCGAATAATTGATGACAAACGGTCGAGTATAATAATAGTYAGCAGTGTACTATACGATGGGATATATCGTACCTCAACTTCGCCAACATCTATTACGTAAAAGTTGTCTCCCTCGTCACCCTGTTGAATAATAGATTCGCCCTGTAGAAACGTGACCTGGAACATTGCGTCGAAAATATCCGACCGCTCGTTCTCGTCCAGGTGAGAGAACAATATGTTCTTGGCGATCGCTTTCGATAAGGCCGCCATTGTTTTGTAATCTTTAGGCACTACCTGAAATGCATTGATGAAGAAATGATTATTAAAAGTATTCCTACTATAAATTACACTAAGAATTGGTGAATAACAACTATTAATACTAAAAAAAAATAAAAATATTATTCGCAGGTAGAAATATCTTAATACATTTTAACAAGAAAATAATGTTATTTTAATATATTATAGATTAGGTAATGGTAAATAATATTAGAAGTTGTACTGCAAATAATAAAATACAATACACATTTAGACTTAGATGTTCTAATAAAATAACGACTTTCACTTCATCTTTATCCAGCACGCGTTATGTTTACTAAATGTTTAAAATTTTATAATACATATAAAGTATTACGAACACTAGGTATATAGCTATATTACAAACATTGTAACATGAAACATTACGTCACCTAACTTATATTTTATAAATTAATACATTTTTAAAAAGTATTTTCAAATCATGTGTACSCATTGTAGATAAAATTTACTAATAAAAAAACACAAACCAGATGAAAAAAATGCATACATTAATATATAATAATATACGTCATTAGGTACATTTATTTGTCAATGATCTATATCGCCCCGTTAAAAAAATGCACTAATTATTGAACTATAAAGTAATTCGTATGGATAATGAATATATTATCAATTGTGTACAAAAAATAACATTTTATTTGATAAAATAGCAACAGATCATTAACTTTTGAAGACAACCGCAGTCAACGGGAAACCCCGCCGCACAAATTGTTTTCTCTTAACTAAATACGTTTAATATTTTAAAACTGTTACAACTAAAAACTTTTTTTTTTATTTAAGAGCGTTTATAATTGGAAACCCAAGGTTTTTTAGTCCATTGTATAGTTTTCGCGAGTCCTTAAAATTTTATTATAGGTATTGTAGTTAATGTAGTTACAACTGACCGCTACAAGAGTAAATAATAACAGAAATATCGGTAAAAACAAAATATATAATACACATAAAAAAAATAAACATATTTTTACATATAGATATGATGACGTACCGTGTAATTAACAATAAAGTTCATACACATTTGTCATTTTTGCAATATAATGTTCATTAGGGTGAAGAATAGAAAGCTGTTTAGTTAATTGTTTTTTTGTACATACTTTTTTTCTCAAATGGCAATGTTATCAAAGTAAACTCGCCTATTGTGCGTACAGTACAGATAGTTTCTAAAATATTAGTACCATTAAAGACAAAAAACATGTTTTGTGTAGCTGCCTACGTAACGTCATAATAAATTGTGAAAGCTTAGAGTCCACTACGGTAAAGGTTTACGAAAAAGAGGAAAAAAACGGAATAAAATAAGCCGAAATATAAAAAGTTTTTTTTTTATTCAGAACGCTATATAATACTAAGAGTTGGCATTTCTGTAGAATTGATGTGACATACTGACACTTTATACATGTTTTTAACGAGAACAAAACCATTTTTTACAACAATTTTACGCAGTGTGTGTTGATCAGTATATTATTATTAAATTTTAACTCTCTAGATGATAAAACTATACCAAACGGTCATGATATGTCATGCAGAATTTTCGTATGAACCTCACCGAAAAGCAACGTTCTTGACCGATTTACTATAAGAACGAAGAAAAAATAATATGATATAAACAATAACGACTAATTCATCAACATTATTTTAAACCAATCTCAAATGCAGTTCCTCTTGTTATGCTTATGTTTAAATTAAAAAAAATATATATTAATCATCAACAATTAACATAACGCACTCGTGTAAAACATATTGCATGATGAGAAATTCTTGTCAACGTGCAGTCAAAGATATGAAGAAATTGTTTAATTTAATTTAATCGTATATTGTTTTTTAGATGATTTAATTAGTTAGGTTGGAAATCAAAAATATACATTATTTACCATTGCATTATATTTTAAAGAGAATAATGTATTGTATTTATAAGGTAAATAAAATCATCGAGACATTTATATYGTTTCAAGAATAAGTCTAAACGAAGCCTTAAATATTTAACTATAGTTGATATTATTTGATACAATAGCAGTGAGGGAGGGGTTTTGAGTGGGTTGACATAAGTTTTTAACTCCAAGAARTTTYAAAAATATGTGTAGGCGGATTATTGTACCTACGAAGTCGAAAGAATTAAAAATCTTAAATTTAGATATTTTCATTTATTTTTTGCTGTTAAATTTAAAATAAAAACAAATTAATTTGTCATTTAATTAAACAGCGTTTAAATATGATTTAGTTTTAATATAACGCTAGAATACTAACAGCATACTCAGTAATGTGACAGATCACATTACATGTTTTATTATTTATAGTTGAATTTTTAATTATAAAAAAATGATCAACATTTTAAAAATAAAAATGTGTCCCTTAATTTTTAATTCGTTCAAACAAATTTACCCCTGGTGGGTAACGTGAAAAATAAGGAAATTTATTTAATGTAGACAAAGATATGTGAACATATTCCATAGGTATRGTAATTGTGACAGTTATTTTAGAATRATGTGTATTCTCTTTGRCAAAATAATAAASTTAAATATGGCACAGRATTAAAATTTAAAAACGAACAATAGTGACAACGGATAAAAACAACTAAGTGCAGAACTTAGATAATATTCGAATCTTCAAATTTTAAAATAAATAGGTCTATATTTAGATTAATCTGGTGTGAACACTGTGAACTCTTGGTATGACAAAGCGGAATGTAAATTTGTTCATGTGTCGCACGCATGGATGGACAAAGATATACCAAAATTTTAAATTATGAATGACCGTCATAGTATTTACACATAATATTTTACTTTCATATTAATCATCGGTTTCGAATTATTTTAAAACTGAATAAAAGCAATTCATATTTATACTGACGTTAATCATAGATAATTCAATGCAGTTTATGAATTCAATATTGAGGATAAAGGTCAGAAATTTAAGTAATACAAAAGAGAATTACGAGTAGGTATTGAGTATTATATCTCTATACGAATATCGTATATTTTGCAGCAATTGAACGAGTGCAATACTTTCACTCTCAGAGTAAGATAATATATATATATGTAATAATACAAAATACCAGTCATCGTTGACCTTTGATATTACTTATCACGCGAATGGGTAATATTATAGAATATTAAATGAGGTTATAATAGCCAAGTATACCTATACCAACCAACGAGTTATTAATATACTAGTCACTGGCTAATAGATATAACCAGTATATTATAACATAATAATAMGGCTAACCAAACATGATGATTTTAATAATTATTGATAAAAAGATTTCAAAAATACCGATAAAATAGATMTTCCAATTAATCAGTTTTCATGATTTTTCTACGCGAGTATATAGCTCCCCTTCCATTCGACGTAATAATAATAATAATATACTTTCAGACGCAACACCGACTCCCGATAAATAACCTTGAGTAAGTAGTATAAAATCCTTCGTATATAKCCAGCAAATGGACAGCATTACGGACCTCTTAGGTTATTAATTATAACACATTAAAATGTTGAATAGAAAAAATTACATTCACGAATTCATTATGTTAACTGTTATACGACGTCGTCGTATACGAATAAGATTTTGAACGATGGGTTAACAAGATCGATAAAATTTTACGAGTGTTTATGTTGCAAAATTATTTATACTATATATTATGTGACGTATAAAGTTAATTTATATACGTTAAATACAGTAGTAAGAATAAATGAAACAAGTGAGATATCGCAATATATGGTCGACGTACCTGAATGGGCAGGTAATAAAACCAAAATAATTAATTTATCTGATGACGGTCAAATATTTTTTTTTGTTCGCTGTGGCCAACGGTTTCTAAACACTTATTTTACAGCCACGATTCGCCCTAACACGCACTACAAATTATATATTAAATTATAATTTATTAAAAATGCGTTAGTCGAGTATATAATAATATACATCACACGATTATTCCCGAAGCGCGCCATCCTACCAAAGTCATTAATTTGACCGTCATCAGATGTTCATCTGCAGCTCAAATCCCTCGTGACAAAACAGATTCCGTTATTGCGAACGACATTATTGTAATAAAAAATACAGACGACGATTCCCTTTTTGTTTTTAAATGCATTTAAACATAATACTTTGAGACCACAACTCACTTTCTTGACATAGCTGGTGGCTTCTTCTTCGGAAACGTGCTCGGCCGATATGCCACCYCTTCGACGGATCGATTGTTGGACGTGACTTGCCGGACCCGACGTCGGCGCCGACTGGAAGAACTCGTCTGTTTCTCCGTGCTGGCTGTCGCTTCCTTGCTCTTGTTCCTGTGTGCAAAAAAWAGTTGAGAAAAAGTCAAACTTAAAAAAAAACAATACGCAATGTCCATTTTATTAYGTTAATTTAGGGGCGGCRAGCAACATCGATGCTCTGAACAAATAATGGAAATACTAAAAACCTACGAAAATTTCCGTAAATTAATTAAAGTTTATGACTAGAAAACATTATATCTATGCACTATAAACATAATATATTTCAAAAATGATAGACTATACTTATACTTGCACCGTTTTTAAAACGAATAAAACATATTAATCGCCGATAAATCGGATTTTACGTACGAAAGACGAATATTGCTCGCCTAAATTATAAATACAATAACGAAGAGATATTATAGGCATATCAAACTCGTGACTTTTCTATAGAATTGTGAAACACAGTTAAAAATTATATAAACTTGGGAACAATTATCAAAAAAATGGCTTTCAAAATAAACACAACTTCTGTTTATAAATTCGGATTTCGATGAAACACATTTTTAGCAAGGAATGTATATCGTCTGAGTGTTAGGCGATGCTCACATATAGGAAAAGGTCATCATATTATTATCACCAGCATCCCGGAGGCTCAAATATTGTTATTATACTTAATTATACCGTAAGTATAGACTATAGGCACGAAGGACGCGGTAGCTTTAGTCCATTACGGGTTTAGGTATAYTATGATCGTATAATTCAATGACATTAAAATATRTTAATAGTGAGCAGTTCAATTAAAATGCCACACATGTCTTGTATGCCAGATAATATACCAATAAAATATGTTTACCTAATACGTATTAAATGGACATAAAAATAAACTAAAACAATAATGATAATGATAATAATAATATTATATTATAATATCCTCTATTATCTAACCACGTGACTCCCACGCTCGACAGGTGTACTATATAGTATAATATGATGCGTTTATTATGCTTTTAGCCGACTGACTGACATCAAACAAAAAACGTTTACCCTAAAATATTCGAGTCGATAAACAGTGCACTAAACATGTGTGAAAAGAGTCAAAGGGTTCAAAAAACGTTTACCCTAAAATATTCGAGTCGATAAACAGTGCACTAAACATGTGTGAAAAGAGTCAAAGGGTTTAATGTATAATCGGTGTTACGCATAATCATCATACGTTCGTTAACTGAGGGAAAATATTTACGTCAAAACAAGTATTTAATTTTGTTTCGTTGTAATAAAATTATGTTGAAATATAATGGCTATATGTGTTACAAAGTAACTTTATTTTTTTTTCTTTATATATATAATATATATATATTTATACCATCATACGAGTACCCCTTCCTACTCTGTTATACCGTTTAATCTGGCGTTCAGTTAAATTCACAGTTGCAAAACATTATAGTTTATAACGATGAAACGTTATCATCCATTTTTAATGTTATTTCAAGTAAAATAATTACATAGGTACCTTATTCAGGTACGTTGAATTTTAAATGAGTAATCCTATGGAAAATTATGGATACGAAATTAATAACTATATACTTAATTCGTTCAACAGCGATTAGAAGCCGTTATGTTTTTATTAAAATATGCAAATCAACTAAATGTTTTGACATAAAGGTCATTTTTTTTTTGTTTTTTTGTCAGCGATTCTCTTACTGYTTAATAACTTGCAGCAAAACCTCGTTCGCACAATACAATGCCAGGATCAGAAAGATAATTTACATTTTAAATTAACAAACGTAGATAACCAATAAAAAAAAAAAATTCATTATTTTGAAATTGTACAAAAACCATCATGTCAAAATAACAAATCGGTTATTTTATAATATATAGTTGCATAAGCTCTTTGAAATGGTTTACTACCCGCAATAACAAAACTAACCCAGTAAAGTTTAACTACTTGTTTCTTTAAAAACATGCGTTTTTCATAAATCTACCGATTAGTTTTACGATATAAGACGGATTAAATTTTTCTAATATATACAGAATAGATACATAAAAACACTGCAGCCAACACCATCAACGACAACGCGAGATTAACTCCAAAAACGTAAACAAAAATAACCTCGAAATTCGAAGACCGTTTTCATGTTTTTTCTGTTCACGTATTTCTGTATTAATACTGTAAAAAACAAAACAAAAAAAAAAACGAGCCGAGGAAAAACATATCCGACCGCTGAAATATTCATGCCTGAGTGTCGTACTCGATGTGAAAATAAGTAATGTGATCGCCGCTGGTCGATGGTGGCGAGGCGATAAATAACCCAAAATAAGGACCTGTATAAAAACGGGCYGGCACGGCTCGCCGGAATAGAGAGGCGAATCGAATATAAAATATATAACATAAAGGACTAGGAGGGGTGGAAAACGAAAAGGAAACGATCAGCCGGAGACGAACAAAAAAA